TCATCTGCAAAGATAACTTTACTTCTTCCTTTCCAATTTGGATGTCTCATATTTCTTTTTCTTGCCTAAGCTGAAATCTTTTTATTCTCCTATCACATTTGACACTTAGTTTATCTTTAGATTAACCTTACTAAATATATTTTTTAAATCTCAAACCCAACTATGTAAAAATATTCTCTTGGTACTTTATGTTGTTCTGCTCATCTTTATGTTCATTCTTCATTTCTCATTTTCCTGATCTTTGCTTTGATTTGATGTGCCTCCATACCAATCTCTCATGATTATCTGAGTCTTGTGCCAGTTTTCCCCTAAAAATTCCCTTCTCTCATGAAACTTTTGTCAAAGACAAATACCTCAATAGGTATTTAAAATTCCTTTTTTTTTTTTTTTTTTTTTGACCAGTAAGGGGATCGCAACCCTCGGCACTGCATGGTCTGCACCACGCTCAGCCATTGAGCGCACCGGCCATCCCTATATAGGATCCGAAACTGTGGCCTCGGCACTACCAGCGCCATACTCTCCCAAGTGAGCCATGGGGCTGGCCCTAAAATTCTTATTTTAATGCCTTTATATTTGTTTGGACTGTGTGTGCTTCAGCACCATCCACAACATTTCAGTTTATAGAGGAACCTCCAAAGGTAGATTTTTCTCTTTCATAATTAACATTCCTGTGTAATATATCTGATTGCTCTTACACTACCCCACTCCCCACTACACCTCCACATGACTTTGGGAAGAATTAGTGAGTATAGATAATATCAGTCTTTCTTCAAAATAGGCCTCAAATGATGGATACTTTATAACTTGGGACCGTTTTTAAAAAACATAACACAAGAGTTATAATGCTAGAAGAATGACTGAATAGAAACCCTAACTTTTACCATACACCTTAATACTCTCAGAGATGAGGCCTTGATTTATATTTTATTACAGCTTTTTTCTTAAGTCCTCTTAATGATCAACTATACATGTGGTGTTTGTAGATTCTCCAATCTCATAAACTTTAGTGATCAGAATCACCTGCAGGGCTCACTGAACACAGGTGGCTGGGCCTCCACCCTTTAGAGTTTCTGATTCAGCTGATCTGAGGTGGGGCCTGATGATCACTTGCATTTCTAACAAATTCCCAGCTGATACTAAGCTGCTGATGCAAGCACCACATTTTGAGAACCAGTGGTCTAAACTATACGGTTAAACTCTTTCTTTACCCACCTATTTGTCATTGTTTAACATAGATCATTTTGATTTGGGTATTCTACTACTTTCTAAGGCATAACATACTATATTTTCTTCAACATTATTCCCTTCCCAGTTTTTTTTTTTTTTTCCTTTTTGTCTTTTTTCGTGACCGGCAACGGATCGCAACCCTCAGTGTCGCGCCTGTACCGGACCGGGACCGGCAACGGGATCGCAACCCTCCGTGTTGCACCCGCACCTCGCTCAGCCAGTGAGCGGCCGGTCTGTATATGGGATCTGAACCCTTGGTGGGAGCGCACCGCGCTCCCAAGTGGCGCACTGTAGCAGTGCGCCACCGGGCCGGCCCTCCCTTCCCAGTTTTTAAAAAATACTTGGAGATAACACTGTTCATCTCATCTCCCATCTTATACATCTTTATTTTACCACCCCCCACCCTGCCCTGACACATACACACAAACAATTCAGACATTACAAATAATGCTGAATCTGTGATGAAGATGACAACAGCAAAAACAGCAGCTTGCGTTTATAGAGCATTTATTCTATTCTAGGCACTGTTCTGAGGTTTTTATTTGCATTAGCATAATCCTCACAACTCATCCATGATGTAGGTACTGTTATTAACCCAAAGTAACTGATGAGGAAACTTAGGCAAAGAAAGGTTCTTGCGGTTAAGAAAATGTGGAAGAGATGGGAATCTAACCTAGAATCTCTGGTTTCAGAGCAGAGACCCTTAATTTCTACATTATCCAACTCCTAACTGCTATACTACCATGTTATACTGCCTCTATGTACTATGATCTTGAAGTCCCTTGCTTTGTTTTCCATAGCTATAGCCCTCACTGCTCCATGTCTTAGTAAACTTATATGTGAGCCACATCACCACATCCAAGCACTGTGCTAAATACTTTCCATGCTTGGCACCAGTTAAGCCTTATAACCATCCTATGACTTTCTAAGTAAATTGAGGCTTAGTAAGGCTGAATAACTTGCCCCTTTTCTTACTACTAGTAAGTGTTAGAGCCAAGACCTAGATTTTTCAAATCACTATGCCCATCCTCTAAATCAATATGCATCCTTCCTCTCAACCTCTGCCAGATTCCTCAACTCAAGTCTCTTACAGCATAAGAATTATATTTTCAGTGTGGGGTCAGATCACCTCTCAGAGCAATACTTTCCTGTTATCTCTTACATAACAATAAAATACCTGGTTTTGGTTTTAGATTCTTCCTACCCATCTCATCTCAACCATTTTTTTTTTTCCCTGTTAGATAAATCCTTTTGGTAACAGAGTTCTCTTATCCATCTGAGTCATCCTATATACCATTTTTTACAATGAAGTATAAAATTCTAGCCTTCCAAGCAAAATAATGTGCCCCATCTTCCAACTTGCTCTTTTATGTTCTCCATCAAGTGGTGTTATAACTGTTGTACAACCTGTCATATCTATGATCATACGTACTGTGCGTGATTGACTTATAAATAACACTAGTTTTCTGTAACTTGGATGAGAGCACCATTATCTACCTTATAAAATAATTTAGTCGTATCATTAGACATGCTCAGTACCCAGTGGAGGAGGAGGTGAAGGTAGATAGAAAAAATTAAATGTCCACTGTGAACTATAAAGATAACTTCAGTTGGAATTTCCTGAGAAGGGAAAAATAAAGAAGTCAGTGTGCCATTTAGATTCACAGATCTAAAATAGCTCTGTTTTCTGGAAAATTATGTATTTCAGTAAGAGGCTTCATTTTATTTACTCAGCTAGTATCTATTCAGCTATTGATTAACACCATATAGTCCATACTCTCTTCATAGTCTTCAACTCTTTCCTCTTTTTTGTATGATCTCTAGGGCCTTGATCTTCCCCTTGACTCCATCTCATAATTGTTGTACACTCCTTTTACTTCCCTCAAGTTCTCCTACCATCCTTCAATTTCATCTCTATCCTAAGTTTCCGGTTTCTGTCTACTAGCCTCAAATTTTATTATTAAAAATTTTATTAAGACTTTTAAATATATAGAGTCCCTTGAGCAGGTACCGGTGCTGTCTTTGTCAGAACTCAGCAGTTAAAATACTTATTCTGATTCCATAACAACTCTTTAACAAAATTCTATTAAAGGATTTAAGAGCTTTAAGAATTAAATTATAATTATTTCTCCTATACTAAGCAATACTGAATAAATAAAGTATTTCATTATTTTTTAATTGGTTGGTGAAATTATACTGAAAGAGATTCTAATACTGGGTATTAGTAGTATGCATATATACATATATATGCATATAAATCACCTGAGATTTTCATTCGTGGTAGTGATTTTAAAGTAACAGACTCAAGTATTACAATTCTTAACAAAGGTGAGTTTTGCTATTGCAAAGCTGACTTTTGGCGGAGAACCATACTGTTTGCACTCTTAGTGTAAGGCCTTTGTTGCCATGGAGACAGTAACAGGCTTTGTTTTTTTTTAACACACACTTAAAGTATATATATACACCATAAGGTTTAAAGTGTCATTTCATTGTCTCTAGGTTCTGAGTATTGGCACATTTTAAAAATATTTTCTATATTCTCTTAATACTTTATTATTTTTGTCCTAGAATTCTGGCCTTTGTAGTGACACAGTCTTATATTACTTTTTACAGGGTCTTTTAGGAATAACTTATAATACCCCATGGGTCAGTAATGGATAAGGATTTTTGAAGAACATGCAGAAACTTTTGAAAAAAGTAATGTGATTTTAAACACTCACATGTCTGGGACACCTATAGTTATGACACTGCATACAGATCAATTTCAGATTCAACTGATACTTTTGTGCCAGTGCTCTGCTAAGTACTTTCACCCTATTATAGTTTACTTGATAGAACTCAATTTGAAGTACCAAAGCAGTCTTCATAATTTTAACTTTTAAAATATTTAACTGATTATTTGTATATCAATAGTGTTCCTTAATTCCCCCCCAAAAAATCAGTAAATAAAATTTGCATGTGCTGTGAGTAAGTAAAACTTGCAATTCATGAATTATATTTTATTTCTTACAATAGTAAATGGATTCCATGGCATGGGATATTACTATTCCATAGACCTCATGATTAAATTTGCAACTAAATCACATCTCTTTAGCATCCAGTGTCAGACTGGCATGGCCTAGTTAATATTTCAGCCCATGAGCAGTTTTGACTTCTTACGTTAGTGGCTGAGCAGTAAGGTGATTGATTTCCTTGTTAAGCTACATAGGTTAGGCCTGATGGCTTATATTTAATCCTACTTATGGTATTTATCATGACTGAGTATTAGAGTAGTTAATTTCTGGATAAAGAAAACCTTTTTATTACAGTTATTATACCCAGAACCTTAAAAGTTAGCCCTTACTTTCCTTAGTTAATATCTATATTTAATGGTAAAGGAAGCCAAGATAAGAAAGTTCTTTACATTATAAAGAGAAAAAAGCTAAAAGTAATAGACAATCCAACTCATGCTCACAATTTTGAACATTAGGTTTTAGCTTTTTCAGTTTTCAGTGACTTTTTAACAAGACCCATCTCCTCTACGAAGAATGCAGTTAATTTTTTTTCTGGCACAAAAAAATAGGGTAACCTGATCTGAGTCTGACAGAGTGTGTCGTTCATTTAAGTGCTTCCATCTGTTGCCTGCTGCTCCCCTTACTCATGACCCCTCTATGTTTCTTTCTTTCTCTTTCTCCTTCTCTTTCCTTCTGTTTCTCTTTCCTTTTTCTCTCTCCCCTCCTTTCTATTTTCTGCTCTCTCTGTTTCTCTCTCTCTGTCTCTCTTTTTGTCCTTAGCCCCTCTGAGGAAGGCAAAGTTTGTTGAGAGCCCACGAATTCCAGAATCCGAGCTTGGCTCACCAACCCTCACTTCAGCTCAGAAACTGGATGTGGATGCATACTGCCCTGGTAAGCATGCATGCAAAGTGTCTGCTTTTGAAAGTGGGAGGATTGGATCAGATCCATCCAGCAGAGCAGTATTTTGCGTATGTACTGCTCATGAAGACATATTTTACCTCTTTTGTAACTGATTGCGTATTCTCCTTAATATAACATAGTTTTTACTGAATATAGATATAATAATGAGAGTACATATTGAAAACAATTTCAAAGATAATTTTCAAAAGAATTAAAATAATTTTGTTAGATAAATAGTTTTCAGGATTATTTTTGTGATTTTTGTTGTGGCCATGTGCAAATACAAATGTTGAAGATATGATTATGAATGTTCATTCAACACTGGACTTTTTGTATATGACCTTTTATACCTATTTCATATTGGATACTGGTATAAAAAATACTTGTGATATTGGAAACATTAAATTTGAATTAGAAAAGAAATATAGGTTCCTGAGTTGGACTTCTTTTGGACACACACTTTTAGAAAGACCACTTCTCATGAATAGCCTGTAAACACATGTGGGAGTTCACTAAAAACCTTTTGCGGGAGCCAAAGTAAGAGACTCATTATCAATGCTTAGATTCTTTCAAACTTAGATGAGTTGCCTGGCAACATCCTTTACACTCTCTACAGTGAGTCTATAGAGCTGTGTCAGAAATGTTCACAGCTCTAGTTGAGTATACAGATCAGACTATTAGTAAAGGACCTTAGAAGACTTGGTTTTAGGTGTTTTGTTTCTTCCTGCTCATTAAAATTGATATTATACCACAGCAAATGCAACCACTGTGTATTTACAGAATTAGGGATAGGCAGAGTAAAATGATTCCTAGTTTGAGGGAAGATAGCAGTGGCTCTGATCTGAAATGTCAGGATAATATACCTCTGAAGTGTCAGGATAATATACCTTTGAAGCTACATAAGACATGTTCAAACAAAGAAAGCAATAGAAGGCTTGAGCCAAACCTAATACAATAAGAGACATTTGACTTTATGAATTAGTTTTGAATATTGAGACCTTGGTGTTTGTTTTTTTGTTTGTTTGTTTGTTTTTTTTTTTTCATTTTCAGGGTGTTGAATGCTGGGCTTCATCAACTGTTGTAGATGAGTGTTCTTTTCTAAGTCAGTAACAGTTATGTATTAGGAACCAGCTTTTCTGTTTCCAAAAGGAACAAAATATCTCTTTAAATAGCACTGTAGCACATGGTTAGAAGAATCTTTGTCATGTTTTGAGGTATTGTCACATTTATTGGGCAGTGGAGTATTGTGCTTTGCATTTCTTCATGCAAATTTTAGTGTTATAAAGTAAAATAAATAAATGTGCTAATTCCCTATGCCTTCCTTGAGTTTTGGAAGAGAAACCCTATCAGAGGCCTTTTCTTTACCAGATTCGCAAATCAGAATGACTAGGGGAACCTAATCTTTCACTTCCTCGTTGCCCATCTGACCTGACTGTCCTTAATCTAATCTAGCTATTGCTACTGTCATGAAATAAAGTAGCTGCTGTTTGTTGGAATGCCTGTGCTGAATCACTATGAGAAATTTTATTCACATGATTATGTATATTTTCCACAAGCATGACTTATTTGCTGAATTAGAATTGTACCAAACTAAACTGCTGTTAAGGTTTTTAGAAAGCCAGGAAAAAACTAAAACGTGATACCAAAATGCTAATTGCCATGCTATGCAGTCTTTCCTTTTATTATCTGAAACAGGTTTAAAGCATTGATTTGCTCTTTTCTAATAAAGTTATTAGACTTACTGAAAATAAGTTTCTACTGAGATAAGAGTGGTAACCTGAGGGTTGAAGCTATTTCTCTACATAGTACACAGAATTAACCAACGAATTAATGAGTACACTTATAAAACACAAATATCAAGCCTTGCTTTTTGATTTTCTTCTACGTAGTATATACCAGCAGAACAATGATCATATTTTATGTATATTCATGTATGCATATTTATGTATATTAATGTATTCAGTTCAGGCAAGCATTCTGGTATCTTCTTGCCCACCTGCTTTACTCATCATCACCCGAAAATTTAGGAAAATATATCTCACAGAGGCAACAGTCAAACTAAAGGTTAGAATAGTGCTTCTCAAATTTTAGCATACTTCAGAATTAGCTGGAAGACTTGGCCAAATGCAGATTGCTGGGCTTACCCACAGAATTTCTGATTCAGTAGGTCTGGGATGAATGGAGAATTTGCATTTTTTACAAATTCCTAGATGATGCTGAAGCTGCTGGTGAGGTTCCACGCTTTGAGAACCAACTGGATTATAGGGCTACTACAAGCTACTTACAAGTGGTACAGTGAACAATGCTGGAAGTCTGTGGGGTTCATTTTACTACTGTTGACTTCTGGGGAGTAATAGGAAATGTTTCTGTACTGTATAATCTTAAGCCTTTTGGTGCCTGTACTTTATGTTGGAAAAATGAAGCTTTTGTTTTGGAGAAATGGGCATATATATTTTTTCTTGGTTTGTCTCTTTGTACGTGGCATCTGTGTACCTATGTCCGACTTTCTGTGTTGTCCTATATGTAAAAGGAAATTGTGGATCAAACCAGACCAAGTTATTGATATTTAGGCCAGAGACTCTAGGGAAAGCTACCCTGGGAAATAGCTGTTGATCCAGAGTATTTGTCTAATAAATTGAGTGATTCAATCTATATAGCATTAGATTCTACAGTATCTGATTTAAGTTTTACTGTTCCTTGAATCAAATGTGTTGTGTGTGGAAAAAATACAAGTAAACAGTATGTTTGGGTTCTGCAACAATGGGGATGATTGATGGTGTTACATAACATAACTAAACTGCTGCAGAGTAGGGGATGTTCAGGGAATTGTGTTGGATAATTGTCTCACAGTGGGGAAACTGACCTGGAGAAGTTAACTGATTTGTCTAGGGTCACAAGCAGGATTTATTGTTGAACTCTTTAAGTAGACACAATATAGTCCAGAAATGCATTGCCCTCTAATCATACTACTGTGTAAATTCCATAAGCGTCCATTACTACCCTTAGAGTAAAAAGCAGAAAATTCGTTTTTTAAGTATGAGACAAAGCTACTTTCTATTTTTATCAAAAAAAAAGGATAACCAACTGATATCAGTGATTTTAATAAAACAATTTCTAAAATAAGAAAATAGATTTATCCTACCTACACTCTATAACTTTTCTGCCTATGGTATTTCTTACTCGTCGTGTGATTTGGGGCAGGTCCCTTAACCTTTCTAAACCTCAGTTTTCTCATCTGTAAAATGGGATAATCTTAAATCAGATTAATACATATAAAGCACTTAGCAAAATGCTTGGTTCGTAGTAAATGTTAATACAGTGTTGAGTATTCGTGTTTGTGTACAGAATATGATGATCAAATCAATATTAGTATGTTCATCATTACAAATCTTAATTATTCTTTGTGTCTCATGCTCAATTATTCCATTACCCCCTCCATTTCCCCCTTCCCCACCTCTAGTAATTATAGTTCTGTTTCTTTCCAGAATTGTGTGTGTGCGCACACACGCATGTGCGCGCTCTCTCTCTCCCCCCCCTCCCACTTTTGAGTGAGTTCATGCAGTATTTCTCTTTCTGTGTCTGGCTTATTTCATTTATATAATTTTCCATGAGCTCATCCATGTTGCTGCAAATGGCAGAATTTCGTTCTTTTTAATGGCTGAATAGTATTCCATTGTGTACATATACCACATTTTCCTTATCCAATCATGCTTCAGTGGACGTTTAGGTTGGTTCCATATCTTAGCTATTGTAAATAGAGCTGTGATGAACATGGGAGTGGAGTGCAGGTATCCCTTCAACATGATGATTTCCATTCCTTTGGGTATATACCCAGAAGTGGGTTTGCTGGATCATACAGCAGATCTATCTGTAGTTGTTTGAGAAGCCTCCATACTGTTTTGCATAAAGTCTGTACTAATTTACATTCCCACCAACAGTGTATAAGAGTTCCCTTTTCTCCAAATCCTCACCAGTGTTTGTTATTCTCAACCTTTTTGATAATAGCCAGTCTAGCTGGTGTGAGAAGATACCTCAGTGTGGTTTTGGTTTGCATTTCCCTGATGCTGAGTGACATTGAGCATTTTTTCATGTATCTGTTGTCCATTTGTATGTCTTCCTTTGAAAAATGTGTTCAGCTCCTTGCCCATTTTTAAATTGGATTATTTGTGGGGTTTTTTTGTTTATTTTTTTTTATTGCAAAGCTGTTTGAATTCCTTTTATATTCTGTATATTAATCCCTTGTTGGCTGTATAGTTTGCACATATTTTCTTGCATTCTGTAGGTTGTCTTTTCACTCTGTTGATTGGTCCCTTTACTTTCAGTTTTTGAGGAAGTAAAATGTACTAGTTTAGAGTAAAATGCACTGGTTTAGAGCACAGACTCTGGACCAGACTGCCTGTGTTCATATAGCAGCTCTGCCACTTTCTACTTGTATGTCCTGGGGCAAATTATATAACCATAAGACTAGTTAATTTCCTTATTTGTAAAATGGGGATTATACATCATAAGAATGTTGTGAAGATATACTACATTAAAATATGTAAAAAAAAAAAAAACAATTACTTGGTCTATGGTGCTGTAAATCTTAGCTACAATTATTCTAGTGTTTTAGATTGACCCTTTACTCCCTTTTATCTAAGGATATTGTGGGTAAAGGTATCAAATCTTTTTTATGTATGCTTCACAAAGAGGATAAAATTACACCTATAATCTATAGTCATTGGCCTTTTTACAAGCAGTTTATATATAGATATTAAGTTGTGTGATTTTGGGTTTTTTTGATGAGGTCAATTTATCATCATGATGAATAGCTCAGGCTCTGGGATCAGATAAGCTTGTGTTCGATTTTCTCTGTGCCACTTACTGGATGTGTAACTTCTGTTATTTAATCTCTCTAATCCTTTTGTTCCTTGTCTGTAAAATGACATTAGTAATATCACTCACTCCATAAGGTGTTTGTGGTGATTAAATGAAATAATACATCTAATTTACTTAGCACAATGCTTGGAACATCAGTTATTATAACTAATAACTTTTAGATTTATTTTTTAAATTATACATAATAATTGTACATATATATGGAGTACATGTGACATTTTGATACGTGTATATAATGTGTAATGACCAAATCAGGGTAATTGGGATATCTATCACCTCAAACATTTATCATTTCTTTGTGCTGGAACATTCCAAATCTTCTCTTTTAGTTATTGCAAAATATACAATAAATTATTTTAACTATAGTTGCTTTATTGTGCTATTGAGCACTAGAACTTATTTCTCCTATTTAGCTGTATTTTAGTACCACTAATCAACCTCTCCCGATTCCCCCACCCCCTTACCCTTTCCAGCCTGCGGTAAATCATTATACTACTCTCTACTTGTATGAGATCAACTTTTTTAGCTCTCACATATGAGTGAGAACATGTGATATTTATCTTTATGTGCCTGGCTTATTTCATTTAGCATAATGTCCTTCAGGCTTATCCATGTTGCTGCAAATGACAGGATTTCATTATTTTTTATGGCTGAATAATATTCCGTTCTATATTTATACCACATTTTCTTCATACATCTGTTGGTGGACTCTTAGGTTAATTCCATATCTTAGCTATCATGAATAGTGCTGCAGTAAACATGGGAGCACAGATATCTATCTCTTCAACATACAGATTTCCTTTATTTTGGATATACAGCAAACCCTTGAACAATATGTGTTTGAACTGTGCTGGTCCACTTATATGTGAATTTCTTTCAATACATATATTGGAAAATTTGGGGTTAGGTATGTTACAAATGCAAGGCATATCTAACCAAACACATAAGTAGCCTACCAAACAGTAGACTCCCATCCCCATGGGACTTTGGGCATGCGTGTGGCATTCAAGTTGAAGGAAAGAGTGCAACACACTTAACTACTTAAATACTTAACTACTATTTAAATTTTGGGGGAGTCAAAAGTTATAGGCAGATTTTTGACTGCGGAGGGCGTGGGGTTCGTTGGCACCCCTAACCCTTGAGTTAGTCAAGGTTCAACTTTATAGTCAGTATTACGATGCTGGATCATATGGTATTTCTATTTTTAGGGGTTTTTTTTTTTGTCTTTTTTCCATGTCCGGCAACGGATCGCAACCCTCAGTGTCACCCCCGTACCGGACCAGGGACCGGCAACGGGATCGCAACCCTCGGCGTTGCCCCCGCGCCTCGCTCAGCCAGTGAGCGGGAACCGGTCTGTATGTGGGATCCGAACCCTCGGGCGGGAGCGCCGCCGCGCTTCCCAAGCGGCGCACTATCCAGTGCGCCACCAGGCCGGCCCCCTATTTTTAGTTTTTTAAGAAACCTCAAATACTTCAGAAAGTTTGTGGAAAATTGGTATTAAGAGATAATACAAATCTTTCCATGAACTTTTAAAAGTACTCTGGTACTGTTTTTCATAATGGCTATACTAATTTACATTCCCACCAATAGTATATGAGAGTTACCCTTTTTCCTCATTCCTCAGCATGTTATTTTTTGCCTTTTTGATAGTAGCCATTCTAACTGGCATGAGATGATATCTCATTATGGTTTTGATTTTCATTTGTATGTGTGATTAATAACTTCTCACAAGTACATACTATTATAAATATATTTCCGGGAAAATGTGGGGTTTTTTTCTTTTCCTAAGCGATATATATGTTCCTGCAGCCCATGAAAAATCCTGTGGGGTCAAGGAAGGGACAAAAGGTATTCTTGACTTGTGTTTTGACACACGAGAAGCTGGAGATTTATGAATCCTGTATCTTACATCTCCATTGCCGTTCTTTATCTCTAAGTCTCTTAAAGTTCTGTCTTTTTGGTTTTTTTAATCTAGAAGTTATTCATTATAACATATAAATTTATTAGACTTGTAGGGGAGTACCAGTTAAATTCTATTTATTATTATTGAATGACCTCAAGAATAGGTCCTTTTAATAGTTACCTATTGCTGCATAACAAATTACACATAAAATTTATTAGCTTAAAACAACAATATTTGTTATCAGTTTCTGTGGGTCAGGAATCTAGATGCAGCTTAACTGGGTTCTGTGGCTCTCAAAGGTTGCAAAGTAACAGCTGGGACTGTAGTCATTTTCAAGGCTCAACTAGGGAAGGATCCTCTTTCAAGTTTACACATGTGGTCTGTTGGAAGGATTGAGTTTCTCATGGGCTGTTGAACTGAGGGCCTCAGTTCCTCACTGGTTTTTAGCCAGAGGCTACACTCACTTTTTTGTTATGTGGGCCCCTCCATAGGGCAGTTCACAACACAGA